GGTCCTACGCGTTCTGCTTCGTCGGTGTTGACTTGTGCAGGTGTAACGTAACCTTTGTCGGCGAAGTGATAGTACACTTCGGCGTTGATGCTGTCGCGTGGATTTTCGTCGTCCATCGGGACATCAACCGAGTAGTAGGGGAGAGGTCCGGCTTCCTCCAAGGCTCCTTCCACGTTTTGCTCGTCCAGGTCAGCTTCATCTTCTGCCGAAGCGAAGGCTCGGTCCCCACGAAATCCACCTGTGACATCTCGTGAGGTCTCCAAGTTGTACAGGTACGTTGAGAGGGTGAGTCTCTCGTAGAAAATGACATCACGTGCTGCTACTGTTTCCTTTGAGTGGACGTCAAAAATCTTCCACGCGTTGTAATTCTTTTCGATGCCCAGGTGTAGCCCCCACTGTGCGCGTTGTGAGAATCGGCCAGCGCGTGCAGCTGGGGGTCGGTACTGTACCATGCAGCCGAAGTTCCGCAACATTTTTGTGCTGCCCAGTTTTCCTGTCCACAGCAGATGCGGTGATGCGTTGTTTGGAAGCGATGATGACGAAAGCAAGTTGTGCAGCATCACGGCGTGGTCCATTGCTTCGGGCCACTGGTGGTTGGGTAGCCGCATGCCACGTAGCAGCTTGCGCATGGTGTTCTGAAGGGTCCTGTTCAGTCTTTCTGCCACACCCTGTTGTTGATGGGCGTAGGGAAGGGAGATGAGCCGCTTGATTCCTCTCTCTGCCAAGTACTGCTTGAACCTCTGTGAGGTGTATTCTCCTCCTCCATCAGACTGAAAACTTTTCAGCTTAACTCCCGATTCCCGTTCTGCTACTGGGAGCCAGGCTACGAAGGCTTCGAGGGCCATGTCGCGGCTTGGAAGGTTGAGATGCCAGACATAACGAGTGGCGGCGTCGATGAACGTGATGGTATAGTTGTATGCCGCTTGTCCAGGTTCGCGATTGTACAGGATGTCGCTGTACACCTTTTCAAGTGGTGCGTAAGTTGGTGCGCTCGGGTTGTGGTGAGAGATGAAGGGCTGATGCGGTAAGTCGGCTTCTGGGCAGGTGAAGCAGGTTCCTCTCATTCGTCGAAGTTCTCTGCCGTCGGGTAGAAGTAGTGAATCTTTGTCAAAAACGCCTGCTCTTATCGTGTTGTTTAACGTCGTGTTGCTCGGATGTCCCATTCTTTTATGCCAGAGATCTTCGTCGGCGCGATGTCCGGGTGAGCGTCTGTACAGATCGGAGTTGGAATAAAAACTGGCAGTGAGATTCGTACTTCGGTGGACTTCTCGAGGAGTTGGATTCAGCTGCTGTGCTGGAGTCGGTGGGGTGTCGTCGTCGATTGGGACTGGTGCAGTTGAAGGACCCGCGATTGGTGCCGATGTTGTCTCTGCTGCTGCTGGTGTTGTCTCTCCTGCTGTCGATGTTGTCTCTGCTACTGCCGATGTTGTCTCTGCTGCTGCCGATGTTGTCTCTGCTGCTGCCGATGTTGTTTCTGCTGCTGCCGATGTTGTCTCTGCTGCTGCCGAGTGTTGAATCGTTGCTAATGCTCTTGTTCGTTCTGCCTCAGGAATGGTATGCAAATACCAGAAACCTTCGGGACTGAAGCCAGGATCAAAATCCGGTGGGTGCGTCCAGGAGGTGAAGGTGACGATTCCGTCGCTGTCGGCGGTGCCTAGATCTGGAACAAAGTCGAGGACGAACACGTTGTTCTTCAGCACAGCCTTGCCAATGTAAAGGCCTCCTTTCCCGTGGTACAGTTTGAACTCCTGTGTTGTGATGTCTGCTTCGAGGTGGATGCCTTTCGCCATCAGCTGGCTGTCGCTCAGTAAGTTGTAGCCGAGTCCCTCCGCGATTAAGCCATTTGACATCTGCAGTATAACGTTTGTCTCCCTTGACTGAAGTTGAACCACGCCTTGTCGTCGTGTGCGCAGGTTTTGATTGTTGGCGACGGTAATGACGACTTCGCGTTGAAGTTGGTGCTCGCGCTGAACGAAACGTCCCGAAGAGCACATGTGCTGCCTGCAGCAACTATCCAAGAACCAAGTATCTTTCCCGGACGGCTCACTCTGGGCGATAGCTGCGTACGTTGGGTTCGGTTGAAGTGACTCTCGACGAGGTGTGGAGTTGTCGAGTTGCTCCTCCGGTGAGTAGTGTGGCGGTGACTCGGTGATGCAGGAGTCGCTCAGTCTTGCCATACAACTGACGATGTTTCTTGCGCCTTGTGCAGGTTGTCCCGTTGATGTTGTTTGAACTTGAGCGGTGGGGTTCGCTTGTGTTGAAGCGACTTGGCTGCTTGAAGGTCGAAGCTGTCGCTGTGGCGGTGTTGACTGTTGTCGATTCGGGCAGTGTGTGCGCGGATGTCCTGAAGTCTTGCAGAGGTGACAAAACGGAGGTACGGGTTTTGGTTGATGCCGGTTGTTGTTGTTGTTGTAGCGCCGTTGAGTGTGAAACGCGAATTCGGGAACTGATGTTTTCTTCTTGTGCCGCTCCTCTTGCAGGTCCATGTCTTGCTGCTCGGCGTGAATTTCGGCGCAGAGTGCTGCTTCGGAGATCTTCCCGTGAACTCGGAGTATGGCGCGAGTGGAGCGCCAGTGTGAACCAAGACCGCCGATAACAACTGTGACGAAGGCGTCTTCTGATATCGATCCTCCACATCGAAGGAGTTTGTCGCGTAATTCGCGGCAGCGACTAATATACGCCATCTCTTTTTCGCCCGGTTTCATTTCCACTGTTGTCAGTTGCGCCATTAACCGACTCTGGTTGACGCTGTCTATTGCTTGATACAGGTTCTTCAGGTGGTTGTACGCGAGTTCGGCGGAGTTGCTGTATCCTCGATAAGACCGGATGTTCTGCTGTTGGGTTGGCGTGATGTTGCGTAGTAGAATTGTGTATGACATCATTGACTGGTAGGTGTACTGCTGCTTGTCGTATTGTGTCCCGTGTGTTGGATATGACAGGGACCCGTCGAAGAAGCCGAGAATCTGCGCACCCTCCATCATCAGCTCGAATTCGAATGACCAGGTGAAGAAATCCTTTCCGTCGAACGGTCTTGACGTCTGCAGTTTTAAGACGTGCGCGAACTGCGACTGAACTTGAAGTGCGTCCAGTGTCTTCTCTTGTCCAGGTGCAGGTTGTGGTTGTGGCATAAAGCTGACGGAGCCACGCTAAGGTTCATACGGGGCGAAGGTAGGTTGCTGCTGGTTTCCGCGCGCATAGGATGAACCATCAAGGCTCATGGGCGTGACGTCGTTCTTGTTGTTGCTAATGTTTGACTGCGCAGGTGCCGTTTGTTGATGTTGCTCGTAGAAGGACATGAAGGAGAAGAACTTCTCCATCATGCTTGGGTCGAAGCCTGCAGATTGATTCGCAGGAGTCTCAGTAGACGTTGCTCTTGGTCTTGTTGCCGTACCCTCCTCTGTCTGTAGGCCAGAGGCGGGAGGTGGAGTAGGAGTAGTACCCGGGGAGCCGTTAGAGGAGCTCCTTTCCTTTTGTGTTGCCATGCCTTCTGACGTTGTTCATAACTTGATGGTAGTTGAGTTCGCCCTGTTTGCTCTCATACCATGTTGGGCTGAGAAAAAGCCCTTAGGATCTTTGCAGGACTGAACTCTGAGTAGGATTGATGTAATAGCGGAAGCGTTTAACGATAAGTCTGTGAACCACCTTGCGCTAGTATGTGAGGGCAAAGTAGATTAATTAAAGCAAGGATATACAAGATTATATAAGTGTACAAGGAATACGAAGGGATACGGTTGCAACTACTTTACTGTTGCTGTTGCGGTTCGATACAGTGACGACTCGGGCACCTGCTCAGTATCGAGTCAGTTGTTTGTCCTTGTTGCCGCGCTGCATTTGTCAAGTCAAAGGTCGCTGACCTTTGACCTTCGCGTAACCTCCGGCGGTTACTTCTCTTGTCAACCTCCGATGGTTGACTCGCCGTTGTTCCTCTATAGTTCGCCTCGTTTGTAGTTCGGTGTTACGACACATAGGAAGCGTTTAATTAATTGTTTCCAACACTAGGGTGCGTGAATGCTGTGAGTGTCCATTCTTAGTCGACACACAATGCCTGCTCAAGCAAGTACCATACACCTCAATTTCTGCTGCAGCGGCAGTGCTTGTGAATTCACTTGACAGCCCTCGTGACGCACAGCAGAGCATGATGAGTTGAGACGGACCAAGGCAGTGGTTTCACAGGACAGAGCGGTCAGAAGCAACGTCCCTCGCTTGCAGCATATGCGGCAGGCTGCAGCACAAGCATGAAGGTGTGGCAGCAAGATCAGGGTGTGGGCGTGGGCGTGGGCGTGGGCGTGGGCGTGGGGGAGTGACTGACGCCTGGCTGTCATTCCCTGCTGCTGCAGGTGCGTCAAGAGAGAGTGGCAGGGTGCACGGCAGGGAGGCAGGGAGGGAGGGGGGGATGGAGGGGGTGAGTGAGTGAGGGAGTGAGTGAGTGAGGGAGGGAGGGAGGGAGGGAGGGGGGAGGGAGGGAGGGGAATGGGCGGAGAGGAATGAGAGGTATGCAGAGTTAGGTTGCGAAGCAGGGTTAGTGCAGCGAGTGGTGGCATTGTGGGGGAGAGCAGCGAGGTGTAGCGGGCAGCGAGGGTGGGGTGGCAGGTGGTGGTGATTGTGGTGCAGTGATTGGCAATGAGGTGCATGGAGGCATACAAGGCGTGTGAATGGGCGTGATGGGCAATGCGTGAGAGTGAAGGGCAGTGCAGCTCCTTGAACCCCCCATCATGCCTCATCCACGCACTCACCTGCCCTCATCCCCACCCACCCCCATGCACAACCCCACCCACTACCACCCACGCACATCCACAGCAGGCAGCAACAAGGGCACGCATTGGGTGGCGGGTGGTAAGCAGGGCGAAGCAAGGAATGGTGGTTGGAGAGGAGCAAGGGGGCGGCAAGGGGCCCGCGCATGTGGAGAGCATGCGGGTGGGATGTGCATGCAGGTGGTTCCTCCCCCAATGGCATGTGCCCCGCATCCTGCATGCACCATGCCACATCAACCATGGCCCCTCTCACTCCACCAAACGCCCACACGCCACGCCCCCACGCCCCCACACTCCACGCTCACTGCCCCATGCGTACTCCCCCCAATCCACCCACCTCAAGAGCCAACGCCAGTTGCAGCGCAGAGAGTAGAAGCTGAATACTCCCGCGCCGCCACGCAGTAGCTGCCTCAACTCGCCCTCCCTGCGCGCCCCTGCTGCCACCCCCTGCACCCCTGCTTGCACTCCCTCGCCCGCTCCCACGTGGGCAGCAGCAGGAGCATGCGCGTGCAGGCGAAAGCGCAGAGTGGGCGAGAGAAGCAGAGGCATGCATGCAGGCAAGGGCAGCGGGTGTGTGGCGAGGGAGAGGCGGAGGGTGAGAGCGCGTGTGGCGGGTGGAGTTGAGGGAGTGGCGGGCGTTGGAGTGGGTGAGGGAGGTGGCGGCGGTGGGTGGGCAGCAGGGAGGGCGCAGCACAGCAGCACGTGGTTGGGCAAGCCGTCGTCCACGAGTGCCCACGGGCACGCGCCCCAGCTGTGACGCGCGCCAGTGCCACACAGCACACGCGCATGCCATGCCACGCTGTCACGCCCACGGGCCACACCCAGTGCTCACGGGCCACGCCCACCGCATGTCGCACTGTGCGCCGCAAAGCCACTCTCACCTCCACAGCACTACCACCGCATTCGTGTTGCACTTGCCTCATGCCTTGCGCCCTCTCATGCCCTCACCGCACGCACCACTCTCGCACCACTCTCCCCACTCACTCTCCCCACTCACTCTCCCCACTCACTCTGCCCACTCACTCTCCCCACTCGTTATCCCCACTCACTCTCCCCACTCGTTATCCCCACTCACTCTCCCCACTCACTCTCCCCACTCACTCTCCCCACTCACTCTCCCCACTCACTCTCCCCACTCACTCTCCCCACTCACTCTCCCCACTCACTCTCCCCACTCACTCTCCCCACTCACTCTCCCCACTCACGCGTGTTGCACGGGTGAGCGCGATACTGAGTCAAGCGGCAGGGTGGTGGGGTGTGTGTGGGAGAGGCTTACGGGAAAGCGGAGTGGGGCGGTGATGAGTGGTGCGGTGGTGGCGCGGATGGCGAGTGAAGCGCGCTGCCCACACGCGCACCAGCCCTAAACCCAACCGCGCACGCACGCCTGCGAGCTACCACCACGCCCATGCCGCGCGCCTCTGGGTAAGCTTCACTGCCGCGCGGGGGGGTAAGGGTCACTGCCGCGCGGGGGTGGGTGTGGGTGAGTGGCGCGCGGGGGTGGGGGTGGGCGAGCAGCGTGCAGTGAGTGGTGGGCACGGTCGGGTGGCGCGCGAATGGCGCTGCCGCGTGGATCCGCCGCTCGCGCTCGCAATGGGCTCGTCGCCCACCTCGTCCCACGCGCACCTGCCGCTTCACCGCCGCACCCGCGCCCGCACGCGCGCCTGCCGGAAGGGCGGAGGGCGCAGGTGGCGAGGCGAGCAGCAGCGCGGTGAGCATGCGACATGCGTGCCACTGGACCCACGCGCAATCACCAAACCTCGCAACTAAACTCATTCGCTTCCACCCTCATTCCTATCCATACTTGAGCTCTTTCACAGCGCTTCCGACTTGCTTCTATTACTCGCTCCACGCAGTGCGAGGCGGCGTGGAAAGCAGTGAGAGGATGGCGATCCCACCGTCCGTTGCGCACGCGCTCTTCTCCCAACTCTCCCCTTGCCACCTCCACCATCTCCTCTTGCCTCCCATCCCCTTTAGCTCTGCTTCGCTAAAGTATCAATCCACTCTCGCTACCACCAACCCAAACATTCGTATTGCTCATGTACAGTAATATTCAATAATCTAAACAGTGATTTTGTCAGGCTAAACAAACTCAAAGACTTGTTGAGAAAAAATAATAATAAAACTAATGCACTTGCTCAATCAAGGCAATATGTCCTATTGCTGCTCTACAGACTACAGTAGTAATATTCAATTTGCAATTGTGAGTCTTCAAGGCCTGTTTGTCAGTTTACACATTTGCGGTTCACATAAATACTCTATAGGCTATGTATAGCTTTGCTATAGAGAGTACATGTTGTTATGCCTAGGAGTCTAGGACTATGTATCCCGTCCTTAGTCATTTATTATCTGGTTAACATGGTATCACGCGCTAAGGTTAGGTCTCACACTTCTGCCCCGCCTATCTACCTACCTGCATCGTGCCCGGCTGACCCTGCTAGCCCCGTCGGTCCCGCTATCCCAGGGCGCCACGGCTGCTGAGGGCGCCACAACTGCTGAGGGCAGAGCTGCTGCTGAGGGCACTCGTGGTCGTCGTGTCAGTCGTCTACACTCCGACCGTGGGGGCGAGTTTCGCTCCGGCATTCTTGGCGGATTCTGCGGCGAACAGGGTATCGTACAGTCCTGGACGCTTCCAGAGTCCCCACAGCAGAATGGGGTTGTTGAGCGCCGCATTGGCTTGGTCATGGACATCGCTCGCACGTCCATGATCCATGCCCGTGCGCCCCATTTTCTGTGGCCCTACGCGGTTCGCTACGCCGCACACCAGCTGAACCTCCAGCCGCGTGTCTCGCGGCCCGAGGCTTCACCGACCAGTCTTTGGACCGGTTCCCCTGGTGTTGGGTCGGCCTTTCGTGTCTGGGGCTGCCTTGCGCTTGTTCGCGACACCTCCGCGGACAAGCTCTCGGCACGCGCCGTCCCCTGTGTCTTCCTTGGTTTCCCAGTGGACTCTGCCGACTGGTCCTTTTACCACCCACCCCTCCACCAGTTCCTAGACTCCCGTGACGTCCGGTTTGACGAGTCTGTGTCCTACTACACCCGGTACCCCTGTCGAGGTCTCCCGGTACCCCCTCCCCCCCTTTTCCTAGCACCCTCTCCTCCTCCTGCTCCTGCTCCTCCGGTACCCCCGCCCCCCCCTGGTCCTGCCCCGTCTGGTGTGTCCCACGCTACCCCTCTACCCTCGGTCGCGCGTCAGGTAGCGTCTCCCTCCCCGCAGTCCTCCTCACAATCCCCTCAGCAGCCTTCGGCGCTTCCGCGACAGGTTCATGTGGACTCGGTTGGTGTTGGAGCTGGAGGTGCAGCCGCTGGCGGTGCTCGGTCTGGGGGTGCTCGTTCGCGGGGTGCTGGAGCTGGAGGTGCTGGCGCAGGTGGCACTAGCTCTGGGGGTGCTGGAGTTGGAGGTGCTGGCACCGGAGGTGCTAGTTTTGGGGGTGCTGGAGTTGGAGGTCCTGGCACTAGAGGTGCTGGTTCTGGGGGTGCCGGTGCTGGAGGCGCTGGCACTGGAGGTGCTGGTTCTGAGGAGACTGTAGCGGGAGACACTGGTTCTGCGGAGTCCACTCCGCCTCCCCACCACCACGACACGCGTCTCCAGGCGGCCCGTCGGCGTGAGCGTGAGGAGCAGGTGCTGTTGGAGAGGGAGCGGCAGGAGTTGCGGCAGTTGGACCTGCTGGAGCAGCAGCAGCAGCAGCAGCAGCACCAGCAGCAGCAGCAGCAGCAGCAGCAGCAGCAGCAGCCGCCGCCGCAGCAGCAGACACCACCGCCGCCGCCGCGCCCGCACCAGCTCCCTCTGGAGCGGCAGTTGTTCCCACCCGTGAGTGGCCTTCGGGCCCTTGGTCTTCCCCCCTCTCCTCTTGTCCACACTCTGTCCCCTCCAGCGTTTGGTCCCACGTTTCCTCCTCCTGACGCCAGTCCGGCGGTCTGGTCTTCTCCTCCACCGCAGTCTCCTCCACCTGGTGTCCCGCACTCTCGTGTCCGTCCCTGTCCTCCGCGTGCTCGTCACTCGTCCCCTGTTACTGACCTCCACACTGCCCTCCTTTGTACGTCTCGTCGTCGTTCTCCTTCTCCTGTGTCCGTTCTCCCGTCTCCTCCTCCGTCCTCTCTCCCAACCCTCCCCACTCCTATCTCCGACTACTACCGCACTGTTCGTCCTGTTGCCGCACGTGTCCTCGCCACTCTTGTCACCGACTCTCCGTCGTCTGTCTCGGCTCTTACTGCCGCTGTCGCTGAGTTTGCTGCCGCCAGCCGCCTTGACTACGCCACCCGTGTGGTGCCAGCTCCTCCCTACCGTCCTCTGTCCGTCGGGGGTGAGTTTTCCCTTGGCTGTGACGTCCTAGAGGACAGAGAGTCTGAGCTGGAGTACTGGGCAGCCGCTTCTCCCTCTGTGTGTGTCATGCTGCTCTCCCCTGAGGGAGACCCCGAAGCCCTTGACATACCGACTCCTCGCACTTACCGCGAGGCAGTGTCAGGGGCGTGGGCCTCTCAGTGGAAAGCGGCTATGGACTCAGAGTTGGCGTCTTGGAGATCCACAGGCACCTACGTCGACGCAGTTCCCCCTCCCAGGGCGAACGTAGTCGATGGCATGTGGCTCTTCAAGGTGAAGCGGCCGCCTGGAGCACCGCCGGTGTTCAAGGCGCGCTACGTGGCTAGGGGCTTCAGTCAGCGTGAGGGAGTTGACTTCTTCCAGACCTTCGCCCCGACCCCGAAGATGACTACTCTTCGGGTGTTACTCCACATAGCAGCGCAGCGAGACTACGAGCTGCACTCCCTGGACTTCTCCACTGCGTTCCTCCAGGGCCGACTGCACGAGGAGATCTGGCTGCGCCGTCCTCCTGGCTTCACTGACACCTTCCCACCTGGGACCCAGTGGAGCCTGAGGCGACCAGTCTACGGTCTCCGCCAGTCACCCCGTGAGTGGCACGACACTCTTCGCTCCACGCTTCGTGACCTTGGGTTCAGCCCGTCCTCCGCCGACCCGTCGCTGTTTGTTCGAGCGGGTTCTACTCCTTTCTTTATCCTTGTCTACGTCGACGACTTGGTCTTTGCTACAGCAGAAAGGGCAGCCCTGGCTCAGGTGAAGTCCGAACTGCAGAAGAGACACAAGTGCACTGACCTGGGTGAGCTGCAGCGCTACCTTGGCCTGCAGATCACCCGGGACAGAGCCGCTCGCACCATCACACTGACGCAGTCACACATGGTGCAGCAGGTCCTTCGGCGGTTCGACTTCCAGTTCTCCACCACCCAGCCCACTCCTCTTGCTGTTGACCACAGACTCACGGGCCCCTTTCCTGACAAGCCCTTTGAGTCCAGTGGCCCCTACGCAGAGCTGGTGGGCTGCCTCATGTACCTGATGACTTGTACTCGGCCGGACCTCGCCTTTCCCCTTAGCATCCTTTCTCGCTTTGTTGCGACTGGGAGACACCGTCCTGTCCACTGGACAGCTGCTGTGAGGGTGGCGAAGTACCTGGCGACTACATCAGGCATGGGGCTTGTGCTTGGAGGGACTCAGCCAGTGGCGTTGACTGGTCACTGCGACTCTTCCTACGCTGATGACGTGGAGACTCAGTTCTCGACTCAGGGTTACTGCTTCAGTCTGGGAGCTGATGCTGTGTCGTGGAGGTCTACACGGTCATCGTCTGTGGCTACTTCCAGTGCAGAGGCAGAGATCTACGCTGGTGCCATGGCGGCACAGGAGCTTCGCTGGTTGACCTTCTTGCTCGCCGACCTTGGTGAGCGGCCTCGCTCTGCACCGACCTTGTACGCTGACAACAAGGCCATGATCCTCCTGTGTCGAGAGCCTCGACTGGAGAGCAGAGTGAAGCATATTGACGTGAGGTACTTCCTCCTGCGAGAGCTACAGCGACGCGGCCAGGCTCTACTGGACTTTGTGGCCTCAGAGGCCAACACTGCAGACGTCTTCACCAAGGCCTTGGCGCTTGGTGATCACCACAGGTTCTGTGTGCAGTTGGGGCTTGTTGAGGTAGGCCCTCGGTTGCTGTAGTCTTGTTGCTTGCTCTGCTTGTTGTGCGTTCCCATATATATCCTAGTGAACTCTTGAACGGGCCTTGTGGCCGCTTGCTTGTGCTCGGAATTTGTGTGGTGTCCTTGAGATCCACCCTGAGCTTGCTTTGCTTCTTGTCTTGACTGGTCTTGTGACCGTTTGTCTTCCTTCCTTGTTTTGATGCCCCTCACTTAGCCTCTGGGGGTGTGTCAAATGTTATTATTTGTAATAGGCTGTAGTGATGTGCCTTCTAGGGGGTACAGCTTGTAGGTTTCCTTATTTGTACCCCAATCCCTTGCTAGTCAAGCCATTCCGTTGCATTCACTTTCTGAGAGTTAGGTCTCACACTTCTGCCCCGCCTATCTACCTACCTGGATCGTGCCCGGCTGACCCTGCTAGCCCCGTCGGCCCCGCTAGCTCTGTCGAGATCCGCTGACCCTGCTAGACCCGTCGGCCCACTGCCGCGAGCCTGCTGCGCCTGCCACGCCCTAGCCGCCGCTGCCCGCACCTGCAGTCTCCGCGCTTGCGGCTGCAGCCGCCGTGCCTCCTTGCCGCCGACGCAAGCGTCTGCTGCCGCCCGCACCTACCATCGCCGCACTTGCCGCACCTGCTGGGCGCCCTGCCGCACCCTAGCGCCCTTCCGTGCCTGCTAAGCCTACCGCGCTCTGCCGCGCATGTTGCGCGCCCTGGCGCACCCTACCGTGCCTACTGTGTGCCCCGGCTT